TATTTTTAGCAAAAAGTACAAAACCAAACATGAAACAAAAAACACGTCCACCTGTTAATAGGCTGTTACAGCTCATAGATTGAGTAAACGGCAGGGTTTAATTAGCTTCAACCTTGTTTTCATCGATTTGATCCTTCACATTAATCCTTGGCTGTCCATACACCCTTTTCATAAATGGCTGCCGATTAAAAATTCTTTTATGTGCATATAAATTGGCCCAACTAGCCTCGTTTCTGGGTAGAAATTCCTTTGAAATCTTAACATGAGCACGAGGCTAGTTGGGCCAATTTATATGCACATAAAAGAATTTTTAATCGGCAGCCATTTATGAAAAGGGTGTATGGCACTCCAATAAATCGAAAAGTTGACAAAAACAAAACAGTAAAAACAACATTTCCGATCGATTTTGCTGAATGAAAACTCGTTCTGCGCCCGCGTACAATCTTTTACTAGTCAGCGACGCTTTTCAATAAGGGGAATTTCTCGAGTTACACGAGGCTATTTTCTAACTTTATTTGCATTTTACTCATTAGTTTCATCGGTGACCTATCTTCAAATTTTGACCACGAATTTATTTTGCGGTAAATTATATAAATTTCAATTTTTAAAAAAATCTGTAGTGGAAATTTCGCAATAAAATTTTCGCTTTTAAAAAAATCAGACACTACAGAATTTTTTTAAACTTTCACCACAGTTGCAGAGCATCATTCCCTATTGATATATGAAATAAAAAAGATAGGTCACCGACATCGTTTTTGAGATAGCGGCACATTTATGGGTTAAATTGGAAGGTTTTGTGCTGTCGTCATGTTGCCATGGTAACACTGACGTTGTCGAAATCTAGTTCGAAATATTCCTTAGGTGACCAATATTGTCACCAAGTCGAAATGAATTCGCGTTCTGCACAAATAATCCTGTTTTACGGAATTATTGGGTAAACAAGAATAACTGTAGGGAGCCACCTTAATTTAATTAAAGAATCTATCGAAGTTTCAAATTCTCGATCTGTCCGTTTTGATACTAAATTACTGATCATTCAAATCTCTCTCAAAATTTGCAAAGATAGACGCAGTCAGGCTCCTAACTTGTTTAATGGTTAGATTAGTCAGTTTACGAGCGGGCCGAGTTGGTCCTTGAACGGTGGGCCGAGTTGGTTTGTCGGCCGAGTTGACTGTAAAGCGTTGTGTACTCAGGTGAATATGATATGTTTGTGATGTTACACTTGGATATACACTCAGAGTAACATCACAAACATATCATATTCACCTGAGTACACAACACAGAAAAAAAAGCATTGGAAATATTGCAATTAGTCAACAAGCATACATATGCAGGTACTCCCAAAAATTATGAATTCCTCATTTGTGTAGAGGTGGGGTTTTCTACCTTCAATTTTTTTGCATTGAAGCGATCAGCCAAGATTAAAATTTCGAAAATATTGTCCTTCCTAAAATGCTTCACCAATGTTTGTTCACAAATGGCTTTCAAGTTGTCGACCTGGATAGAAAGAACATATGCTTTTGTTAACAAAATTATTTACTTTGTGAAGATTGGGGCTCGCTTAGACTGGGCCAGCTCGGTTCCCATATAAACGCAAGATAAAATTTAAGAGGAATAATAAACGAGGCTAATCTCGCTAAACCCGGGCAGCTCGGGTACACACGTTGTGAGATCACAACTTGTCAACAAGATGTGTTCGCAACAGGCTTTTAGTAAGCTTGTCAACAAGTTGTAACAATGCTGTTATTTTATCAAGTTGCTACAAGGTTGTCGCTCACAACTTGTTGACAAATTGTTGAATTGCAGGACGATATAACAAGTTGTATCAAGTCTTTTGAGCTCAACAATTAACCCTGTAGCAAGTTGTCAACAAGCTATTGTCAACATGCAAGTTGGGACAAGCAAGTTGTTGGAACAGCATTACTACAAGTCTGCTGCAGGTTTGTCACAACTTTGGCGTTTTTACCAGAGTGCTCCAACAAAGAGTCCCTTTATAGTGAAGGGGTCTCGGGTTCGTTTCGTACCGCGGTCAAGAAATTTTTCACCCTGCTCAGTGTAGAGAATCTCCCAGTAGCATCATCTGAAATATTACCTCGTATTGGTCACTGAGTGCCATCAACTCGACAAGATTCTCCAACGATTTTGACTCGGTCTCCAAATGACCAGTGTAAATAAATTTAAGAAACTCTTGGAACGATTCTTTGTCGGTGTCGTACACATGGATTGTTCTAAAATACAACAAAATATGAGAAAACCTGAAGCTTGTGTTTGATGCTCTGTATATTTGAGCATAAATGAGCCGCCTGGTCTGTCAGAGGTCTAGTAAGGATAATCTCTTATTAATATTGTTACTATAGGAGGAAACCTAAACTAAAATAACTTTATTTATACCGGATACCTCTATCAGTTCTAAACTGTTCTCCCTAGAGGTCCAGTAAGGATCCTCTCTTATTGATCCAGTGTTACTACAGGAGGAAACCTAAACTAAACCAACTTTATTTATACTGGATAGCTCTATCAGTTCTAAACTGTTCTTCCTAGAGGTCCAGTAAGGATCATCTCTTATTGATCCAGTGTTCCTATAGGAGGAAACCTAAACTAAACTAACTTTATTTATACTGGATAGTTCTATCAGTTCTAAACTGTTCTCCCTAGAGGTCCAGTAAAGATCATCTCTTATTGATCTAGTGTTACTACAGGAGGAAACCTAAACTAAACTAACTTTATTTATACTGGATAGTTCTATCAGTTCTAAACTGTTCTCCCTAGAGGTCCAGTAAGGATCCTCTCTTATTGATCCAGTGTTACTATAGGAGGAAACCTTTTACTAAACTAAGAAAAAACTAAAAGTAAAGTCTACTAAATAAATGCAATAATACGAAGTTTTCAGCACTGTTAAAAAGCTTTTTTTTCGTAAATTTTAAGCCAGTTTTCAAGAATATATTCATGTTGCCGTGCCCTTCGCATGCGTGAAAAGACAGGGACTGGCCTTGAAGTTTGGCTTCAAATTTCCAGAGATAGCGTTCCAGTTATATTCATTTCACCGAGTTCAGCTGATACGCACTGGAATGTCTAATCTAACCTTTCAATTGACTCTTTCATTCCACTCGTCAGAGCACGTCTGAACCAATCACATCTCGAGGCCAGGACAACACGATGAGCCCGCAAACAATTACTTCCATTTTGGTCAGCGGTTGAATCTTCTGCCAATAAAGGTTTACTAGCATCGCGTACGAGAAACGTCATGTCAGAATACTGCCCTGTCTCGAGCACGGCGCCCATGCACCTTGATAAATTTGTGCTGGCTGTTGACGTGGCGGAGACGATCGAGCGAGTATCTTTCGTCTGGAAAAATTAGGAAAAAGTTTTACTTTCAAAGAGTTCCTTAATAATATCGAGATTTATATCTGATAAACCACTCCTGCTCGTGTTTTAAGTAGTGTGTAATCAGCAGGGCTCGAAATAGCGGGCTGCCATGGCCAAAAGCAGGCCAGATTTTAGAAATGGCAGGCAAAAACAAATTTGAACTGCCAAGTAAAAAAAAATGGCAGGTGAAATTCTATAGATATATCTCATTTCATTTGCTTACCACAACTCATATATACTAGATCGTTTAGTTGACTAAATACGTTTATATTTGAAATGTAAATCCAAGTTTACTGTAGTAAAATAGACAAGTTTAAAAATAATAAAAATGCATATCATGAAAACATTGATTTTTACAATAAGACTGGCTATATGAGACATCGCCATTTTGGCAGTTCAATCAATAAAAATGGCAGGCTAAAATTCATTTCACCTGCCAAAAATTTTTAGATTGGCAGGCTATATTTTTTTATTTCGAGCCCTGCCGTAATGTTTTCGGTGTGGCAACTTTACAACAGGCAACTAGGCAAGTAACCAGACGCCAAGCTGTCTAAATAAAAAGAAAATAAGTCTGATATTGATACGGACTATTTACAATAATTATGTACAGCATTGGAAAAACAATATAGAAACACACTCATTCAAACACGTATGCATAAACACAGACGGCAAAACGTTACAATAAAATCAATCGAAATTTTAAGCCATAACCAGAGCCTGCCTTGCGGGCTAACGAAATACGATGAAGAAGCCAGATTTTCCAGAATCTATCAATATATTTTGTGAAACATCTAATGCTTGATGTTTTTTCACTGAATTTATCCTACTTTATAGCCTCTATTTTTTGCGCCAAATGTCTGTTGCAGTAATATAGTAAAAGACATTTTATTTAATTAAACAAATATGCATCTATTAACTTTAAAAAAAATCAACATAAATGGAGACAAATACTGTGAAGTTGAAGGCATGAATTTGATATGAAGACCAACCAAACATGGACAGTAACAATATTACTGACAAACACGCATTTAAAACAAACCACCTTAATAGCGTTTCGAATGTATGATCAGTAGTACCAGCTGTGACACAATTGCAAAACGTTTTAATTAAATTTCGAGTTTTGCCAATACAGTGCCCAATTGCTTAACGACGTTTTTAGTTGCAACATGGGTCGTGGCTTTAGTTTTCGACTCTTGTATCGAGTCGTTTTCTTTTTCTTCTGTCTGAATCTCGCCTGTTTTTATCATGGTGGTGGTTCAGAGTATGACAGGCGAGAAGATAAAACAGAACCGAACAAATTAAAAGATGAATTCAAAGGTAAACCCTTGAATGTTGACGTTTCTCTCGAACAAGACGAACGCGTCTCTAACTTGACAGAAAATGCGAAACAAATTGATGGCGAGGATACGAAGAAAAAAACTGATCTTTCAAAGATGGCAAGAAAAGGTAAATTCTAAAAATTTCGCAATTCGGGAAGGACTAAATGTCAACCACATTATTTCTTTTATAGAAACTGTGACGAAAACACTTGGAAGTGAGAGATTACAGAAGAGCCCAGAACTGCATTTTTCAACTTCTTCGCCGCCTGAGGTAAAAGTTCCAAGCAAAGAATCGACTACCATCTCCCACTCAAATGGGACAAAATGGCAAAACCATGGCAGTATAGATATACTTCCATTGGAAAATCGAATTCTCCAACTGCAAGACTGGAGAGGAACAGCCAAAAGAGAAACGTTGCCTTCCACAACTCAACATCTCCGGAATAGACGTGAAATTGATGCGATCTCAGAAAGTAAGGTGAGTCCGACCGAATGTTCCAATTCCACTTTTACCATAAAGTATGAAGATGAATACAAAGTATGGAACAATTTCTCAATGCTGTACCAAAGTCACACGTACTACTTTTACATGTACAGAGTAACGGACGATGGTCTACAAGTTTGTAATTCTTCTGACCCTCTCGTCCAACAAAGATGGTTGAATTTCATCGTTTCAGAAAAGAGAATGATGGCTTCCCAACATTGCAATGCATTTGTGGACGGTTTCTACGTCACAAATTACACATTATTCAAAAATTTTACTGTTTTCTTTCATCCTACTGAGCAGAGTTTCACAAGGCGAGATTACGGAGTGATTTTTGGACATTTTGCAATTTGTTCGGCAAAAGTTAGTCTGTCCTGCAATGATGGTTTGATTAAAGTAAAGTACGATGAACAATACAATGTTTTCAAAAACTTTTCGCTGTTTTACAACAATACGATGTACGATTATCGCGAATATCGATTTGGAAACGACAGTCTTGAAATGTGTGCTTTCAATGATTCAAGAGTTCAGGCTCTTTGGAGAACTCGGAATTCATGGGAGAAGTTTAAAGAGGTGTATAAATGCTATCGTTGTTATTACCTATTGTACTACATTATGACTAAGCAGTTTACTGTCTATTCGGCATATAACAGTCAATATTTCACAAGAAATGACTATGCACTCATAGACAGTAAACTTTGTATATGCAGAGAAAAGTTCAAACCCGAATCAACAGAGTATACCCAGGAAGATCTATTAAAGTGCAACGATTCAATCATCAATATAAAATACGATGATGAATACAAAGTTTGGGATAACTTTTCAATACTCTATAAGAACAATGTATACGATTATACTGAGTATCGAGTTCTGAATGATAGCATAAAGATTTGTAACTCCTCTGATAACGACGTAAGGAATATCTGGAAAGAACGCAATAAATATGTCAAGCAGTGGATGCATTACAAAAGTTGCAATAAGCTCACATATGTTGAATACTACCGAGGGTATTACATTGTGCTGAAGGATTTTAAAGTTCTCATTTTGGAAACAAAGCAGGTTATTACAAAGTACGATTATGGTGTGGTTGAAGGGAAATTTAGAATATGTGATGAAAAACTACCACGAGTTTTTTTCTTACAACCACTTAGCCTGGCTGACATAGCGCCATTATGTGCTTTAGCCCTTTCCATTATTTCTTTGATGTTGTTGTTGATAGTTTATTGCATGCTTCCTGAACTGCGCGCACTTCCTGGTTTGAATTTGATGAGTTTAAGCTTCGCCTTTTTGTTGTGGTTGACTTATAATGTAGTGTATGTGACACTGTATAGACGTGTAGGTACAGTGTCTAAGTTTCCGTGTGCCAGGCTGGTGATAACAGCTAAATTTCTGACGTATAGCATACTTATGAACGCTGCTGTTAACATCCATGTCTTAAGAAAAACCTTTTGTGGCAATATTCTACTGAAATCTGATGTAAACAAATGGAAAAGGTTTTTGAAGTATAGTCTCTTCAGCTGGGGTGTTCCTGTCATCATAACTATTGTCTACATTGTACTAGTGAAGAAAGATGTTTTAAAGTTGTATCATCATATCATATACGGTTGTGTCATTGGTAATATTCCTGATTGGTTAGCTATTACGAAAGAATATGGTCTTCCGGGTTGTCTTTTGTTGTACAATATTGTAATGTTCATCTACACTGCTTATCGACTTCGCCAAAAACTCAAGGCAAGCAGTAGCATCGCACAGAAATCGAATATGGTCAAGACTCGCAAAACTTTTGTGCTATTACTTAAGCTATCAACCACTGTTGCCATCACATGGCTTCCTGTTATATTTGAAAGATACATATATTTTAACGTTCATTATTACATATACTTGGCGCTTTGGACTGTAGCGTTTCTTAGTGGTGTCTATATAGGTATTGCATTTGTGTTTACAAGAAGAAATTACCAGCTGCTAAAGAAGAAATATGTTGCAGCAAAAAAGATGCCAATTAATAAAATTATGCCAGTAAATCAGTAAGTAAAGTAAGTAAGTACAATCATTTTCAAACGATGTTGGGACACTTGCAGTTTTAGATCATCAATATATTATTACAAACATTTATATCTCCCCCCCCCCTCTCCATTCATTTTATATCTCCCCCCCCTCTCCATGTTGTTTACCCGATCACACACCAAAGTAAAATGCTAACTGAGACCCAACATTGAGCGGAGGCGGGGGGGGGGGAGGGCGAGGGGATCGATGTTTGTCAAAATAATAGATAGGTAACAACCTCGTACCCAGGGTTCTCTTTGAACCCTGGGTATGAGGTTGAAGAGGTAATGGGGCATCTGTCTCAACACATTTGAAAATGATTGTGGTCACAAAATGTAGAAGAGAAAACATGAATGTACATAGAATAATTCCAATAAACAGTAATCGATGAAAACTTAAAAAGATCTGATTAATTCGAAATTTGTAACCATATGCATGCACAGTTGTAAAAATTTTAACATAATCCATGAACTTATTGTCTTTAGGATCTTTGCAGTACAATAAAATAAAAAGCGAAAATTGTGTCTTTGTCTCATTGGATGTATGAAGTACTGTATGAAGTAGTGAAGTACCCCAGCAGTGTCCAATCCACATGCAACCGAATAACTCGAAAAACGAAATTTAAACATTCCAATCGGTGTATCAATTTTCCATCTTTATATCTGGCAAAACAGACCCAGCGGCACCAAGTCAATTTGTTACATGTTAATTGCCATGGGAACTTAGATACAAGGTGTTACAAAAATTAACAAGATTGGAAACAAAAACATTTCGACATATGTACAACCCATATATTTAAATGCATGAACAACCTAACATGCATACGATGCACAAAGTGTAGAAATACAATATTTGCATGACAATTCCAAAGACCTGATCTTTCGAAATATGCATCGAGCTACCCTAAGAGCGTTTCCGGTGTAGTTAACTGTTAAGATAGTTCCACTTTTAAAGCCGTTATGTGTTTGGCTGTATAGATAACGCTCACGTATAGTCGTGAACGTACTTGGTCGTAACCCACTCTCAACATTTCTCGCGGGAGGAAACTGGAGTACTCGAAGAAAACTAACAACATTCGGCAGAGCGTTGACTGATTCTTTTCACATGAATATTTCGAGAATTGAACTTACGATTTCAGAGATGGAAGGCGCTTGCTCTGATAACGAAGTACAGCTGGATACAGCTGGTAACATTATCACAAATCGCCTGATCATAAACGTTTTAAACTTTGTGTTTTGCCGAAACAACACCCAGTTGCCCAACGACGTTTGCAGTTGCAACATGGTTCGTGGCTTTAGTTTTCAACTCTTGTATCGAGTCGTTTTCTTTTCCTTCTGTCTGATTTTCGCCTGTTTTTATCATGGTGGTGGTTCAGAGTATGACAGGCGAGAAGATAAAACAGAACCGAACAAATTAAAAGATGAATTCAACGGTAAACCCTTGAATGTTGACGTTTCTCTCGAACGGGACAAATACGACCCAAAGTTGACAGGAAATGCTAAACAAATTGATGGCGAGGATACGAAGAAAGAAACTGATCTTTCAAAGATGGCAAAAAAAGGTAAATTCTGAAAATGTGAGAATATTCGTAATTCATTTCAGAAGGAGTAACTGTCAACCACATTATTTATTTTTTAGGAACTGTGATGAAAACAATCCGAAGTGATAGAATACGGAAGAGCCCAGAACCACATTTTTTAACTCCTTCCCCGCCTGAAGTAAAAGTTCCGGGCCAAGAATCGACTATCACCTCCCGCTTAAGTGAAACAAAATGGCAAAACAATGACCGCAAAAATATATCTTCATTGGAAACTCAAATTTTTCGCCAGAATGACTTGAGAGGAACAGCCAAAAGAGAAACGTTCGCTTCACTCACAACTCAACATCTTCGGAACAGACGTGAAATTGACGCGATCTCAGAAAATAAGGTGGGTCCGACCAAATGCGCCAATTTTACCTTTACTATAAAGTATGAAGATGAATACAAAGTATGGAACAACTTCTCAATGATGTACCGTGAACGAATGTACCATTATAACGAATACAGAATAACGGACGATGGTGTACAAGTTTGTTATGCCCCTGTTCCTTTCATTCAACAAAAATGGCAGAATTTCATTGCTCACGAAAAGAAAATGACGGTTTTCACACATTGTAATGTATCCGTGGACGGTTTTTACTTTGAAAATTATACATTATTCAAAAACTTTACTGTTTTCTTTCATCCTACTGAGCAAAATTTCACAAGGCAAAATTACGGAGTGATTTTTGGACATTTTGCAATTTGTTCGGCAAAACTTAGTCTGTCCTGCAATGATGATTTGGTGAAAGTGAAATACGGTGATCAGTACAATGTTTTACAAAACTTTTGGCTGTTTTACAACAACAAGATGTACGATTATAGCGAATATCGATTCGGAAACGAAGGTCTTGTAATGTGTGCTTCCAACGATTCGAGAATTCGGGCCATTTGGAGAACTCGGAATTCGTGGGAGAAGTTTAAAGACCGGTATAAATGCTATATATATAGTTATCACCTGTTGCATTACGCTGTGAATAAACAGTTCACTGTCTATTCCACAGTTAGCGGTCAATTTTTCACAAGAAATGACTATGCGGTGATAGACGGCAAACCTAATGTATGCATAACCAAGTTAAGACCCGAATCAAAAGAGTATACCCAGGAAGATCTATTAATGTGCAACGATTCAATCATCAATATAAAATACGATGATGAATACAAAGTTCGGACTGACTTTTCAATACTCTATAAGAACAAGGTGTACGATTATGCTGAGTATCGAGTTCTGAATGATGGCATAAACATTTGTAACTCCACTGATAACTACGTACGGAATATTTGGAAAGTACGTAATAAATTGGTAAAGGGAACAATCCATAGAAAAACTTGCAATCTGCCCATACTCATAGACGTCGGTATGATCCCCCGAAAGTTTTATACTATTCGTAATGATTTTAGCATTCTCATTTTGCCAACAGATCAGGTGATAACAAAATACGATTATGGTGTGTTTGAAGGTAAACTTATAATATGTAAAGAAAAAATCATGTTTTATAACTTAGCCTTAGGCCTACAAGGCATTCCACCAGGTGGAATATCAATATTATGTGCTGTAGCGCTTTCTATTATTTGTGTGCTGTTGTTGTTGATAGTTTATTGCATGCTTCCAGAAATGCGTACTCTTCCTGGTTTGAATTTAATGAGTTTAAGCTTCGCCGTTTTGTTGTTGCTGACTTACACTGCAGCATTTGTTTCGCTGTATTTACGTGTAGATCAATTGGTAAATATACCATGTGACAGGATAGAAATAACAGAGAGGTTTATTATGTATAGCGTAATTATGAACGCTGTTGTGAATATCTATCACTTAAGAAAAACCTTTTGTGGCAACACTCTAGTGAAATGCAACACTCTTGTGAAATCTGATGAAAACAAGTGGAAAACATTCTTGAAGTATAGTGTCTTTAGCTGGGGTGTTCCTGTCATCATAATTATTGTTTACATTGTGCTTGTGAAGAAAGATGTTTTACGATTTCAAGTAGATATTACTGGTTGTGTCATGGGTAATAATCCTCCTCTTTGGTTAGCTGTTATGGAAAAATATAGTCTTCCGGTTTGTCTTGGGTTGTCCATTGCTGTAATGTTCTCCTTCACTGCTTATCGAATTTCCCAAAAACTCAAAGCAAGCAGTGGTATTGCACAGAAATCAAATATTGTTAAGAAACGCAATAGCTTTGTCATATTGCTTAAGTTGTCAACCACTACAGCCATAAGCCTGGGTCCTCTTTTATTTGAAAACATACATTTTGATTTTGACATAAAGATGGGGTTATTTACTGTAGCGTTTCTTAGTGGTGTCTACATAGGTGTTGCGTTTGTCTTCACCAGAAAAAATTACAGGTTGCTTAAGAAGAAGTATTTCCCAGCAAAAAAGAAACCAGTTAAGTAAGCAAGTCAATAAGTAAGTCAATAAGCAAATAAATACATAAGCAAGTAAGTAAATAAATAAGCAAGCAAGTAAATAAATAAATAAATAAATAAGTCAATAAGTGAATAAATACGTAAGCATGAAGTAAATAAATAAGTAAGTAAATAAATAAATAAATAAGCAAGCAAGCAAGCAAGCACGTATCACAATCAGTGGAAGAAAAACATGAGTGTATATAGAATAAGTAATTAATATAAACAGTAATCAATCAACATTTATAAAGATCTGGTTAACTTAAAATCTGTAATCATGTGCTAACTTGTAGAAATTTTAACGTCATATTCTATCCGATGTGAAAAAGCTCGGAATATAATGTTATCAATTTAAAATGCATGTATACAGAATGTGTTTAAGATCTTTGTAGTATAATAAAGTGAATAAAAAGCAAAATGTTGTGATTTTTTAGATTAAATTTCGTGTGGCGGATGGGGTGTATGAAGGTTCTCTGACAGTCCCCAATCCACCCCGGGGAAATCTTGACGTGGAGTAAGGTCACGATCCAGATGATTCGCTGACGCCATGCAATCTGCCATCTGGTTTTAATTTTTGGGGAGGAATACATATTTGGTTGACCATCCATGTTTTGCACACGAATATAGTAAACTATAACCACAACTCTACCACAGAATACTATACAGGAGGCCATCTCCATTGTTTTTTGCGTAAGCGCTATTCGTCATGATTCGTCACTCGGCAAGTACCGTAAACAGAAGCAGTCACCCCCTTGGACATGCGCCATTTTTAGTATTTCCAGGGGGGTGACTGTTTCTGTTTACGGTACTCGCTGAGTGACGAATCATGACGAATAGAGCTTACGCTAAAAACAATGGAGATGGACTTCTGTGTAGTATTCTCTGACTCTACCACAGAATACTATACAGGAGGCCATCTCCATTGTTTTTTTGCGTAAGCGCTATTCGTCATGATTCGTCACTCAGCAAGTACCGTAAACAGAAGCAGTCACCCCCTGCAAATATTGAAACGTAAAAATTGAGTCACGATCTTTCTCATCGGTCACGAAATACAACATTTTAGAACTGAAAATACGCGGAGTGATTATAACTAGAGAATACTTATGATTTATATGTGGTTTACAGGTATAAACTATAATAAACTGACCGTTGAGAAAGATCGTGACTCTATTTTTACGACCATATGGAAACAAGGCCTAAGTTTGTTTGCGCGTTAGTTGCTATGGCAACGGACATTAATGGACTTAATAAAAATGGCGTATGGTCGTGCTTGTCTTTGCTCCGCAGAATGTTCAGATTTTCGTATAAAAAGTTTGAATCCAGACGCTTTCCTTGCTCGTAAGGATGAGCTAGACTTAACCTATGATGGCAAGCGTTTAAAATGGAATAAAAACTTCGAAGATCTAAAATATTTCTTCGAGACAGTTGTTGGCCTGAACGGCAAATGGACATCGCCGGGAGGGAACTCTAAGAAGTTATCAAACTGTAAATCTAACATAACAATTACTTGGTATTATGGTAAACAAAGAACACTCCTATTCCAAGGAAAGGAAGGGTATTTGCTGAAAGACGTTTTAATAAAATTTTGTGAAGCGAACTCTACGTTAAAGTACTCAGAACCTCAATCGTCGCCTAAGCAAGCTGATTGCTATGAAGTGGCTTGCGCTGTAACTGCGTCCGTTGAAAGAACTATTACACCTAACGCAGAGAATTTAACTAACTTGTCTAATATCGATGACTTAAGTAATATATCTCAGACAGATGCTCTATTTAATATATCCAAAATCGATGATATACTAACAAGCTCTGATGCTTCTACTATAAAGGAACTTGAGGGCTTTATCGACAGGTCATTTTGTAGTGCTTTTGGGCTGCCTGATTTTGCCCAACCGACGGACATGTCTACTCCATCTAACCGACAAACTGATGGAAATCTAGCCAAACTTGAATCACAATTTTTCACGTTTAAGGAAAGTGTTGAGGCACAGCTGCAAAATTTATCTTATAAACTCTCTGAGCAGAATAACATCATTAAGTCAAATAAACAAGAACTATGCAAATTAAACTGTGAAAATTTGCATTTAAAATCATGTATCTCAGAGTTAGAAGTGAAATTGCTGTCAACGAATACATCAAATACGAACTGTAGTTTGGATCTGGAAAGTCTAATGGTTAAAGAAAATGCTTTCCCAACTGTAAATGCTGATGTCTGTATTACTTCTAGTGGCTGTTCACCTGAAACTAATAACAGTCATGAAAACGTTAATCAACCAACCGTGGACTCTGACCTTGACCCTCCAGTGTCCGAAATGAATAATCACTCAAAGGATTCAATTGAAGCAGTACAGCTCTCAATTTCTGTTACCAAAGAACGAGCAGCTACCCCAATCACTCAAGCGACCAATGATAACAGCAATATAGAACCAAATGTTGGAAAATCTTTCGTCTTAGCACCTCCACAACGGAATAATATCGAATGGTTAGGTCGCTTACCGTTGATTGAAACACTAAACCAGGCTAACCAAACTTCGTTCTGCAACACTAAAAGTAGAAGTAGTAGTGTTTTTAAAAACCGCGACACCGAGTATTATAAAGGTTGTCAGACAAATTCAAAGCCTTTAACTTCACCAAGGCATAATAATATACGTAATTCCCCTGGTCGACGCCCTTTTTTAAAACGTCAGAACATCAAACCACCATCATATCGAACATCTCATCGTCATCACTCACTAGAGTGGTTGATCCATCTGGATGTGGTGTACATTTTAAGTACCAAATTTTTCGAACCTAGTAAATATTCAAATTGTAAACTCTAGGGAAAAGACCCTAACCAATGATCGAATTGCTATTGATTGCCAAGACTCGACCTCTGTGTTGCGGAAGCGTTTACGCTTTGCTTGTGTTAATTCGCGCTCTGTAAGGAACAAGATCGCCGTTATCATTGATCATATGGTTGATAGCGGTATTGATATATGTACTATCACTGAAACGTGGTTGAAGGAATGTGACTCTGTCAGTATTGCTGGACTATCTACTGCAGGATTTGTGTTTAGATCTTTCCCAAGACAGTCTGGTAGAAGTGGTGGCGGCACGGGTATTCTGTGCAAAGAATCGTTAA